ACTCCACGGAGAGGCACTACCACACCACCCTAGGGACTCCAGGAAGGTGCAAAGCTGTCCGGGCAGGCCCCAGGGCCAAAGGCTCCAGTGCAGGGTTGGAAAGGGGAGGTCTGGGTGTCGGGGACATGTCTTCTTCACTCCTCAGCGCGGAGCCGACCTTTTACACATATTTGCCTGACATGTCAGAGAAGACGATTTGTTCTTTGTTCTCTCAGTGTCCCAGCGATGGCAGCCCAGGAGGGAAACTGGGCCTGTCCTAGGCGCCCCAGGCCCAAGCCCGGGACAATCGGATCTCGTGGCCGTCTGAATGGGGCTGGCACCGTCTCTAGGCGAGCGTGGCCTGGGGCGAATCTCCTCACCCTCGCTTCCTTCCCTGCCAGCTGTGGTTCCTGAAGGGAGCTGAGCTTTGGGAGCCCCAAATCCTGTGGCTTCTTTTAAAGCTCCCCTCTAATTAGAAGCAGTGGTGAGATCACTTGAGTGATTTTATCTGTCATGGGAAAGCAAACTCCGACCCAAACCTCAGCTGCCCATCCCAGAGCCACCAACGCCCCCTTTCTCGCTTTAAAAAGTTTTTAATAGAAAAGATAAAGAGCTGGGAAGCCATAGAGGAGCGGGGGCGGGGAGGGGCAATGTGGAAGTGGGAAGAGGGTCATGGGGAAGTGTGAAGTGCGGAGTGTGTGAGTGCCTGTGCGCACGCATGTGTGGGGTTTTCTTGCTCTGCCGTGGGAAGACACTAAATCTAGAAGCCAGAAATGAAACAGAATCATGAACGTCTTCACCTATTGAACAACACTTTGATCTGGAATCCAACGTTGATGCGGCCCTGGGGGTGGCAGAGTCGGATCCGCTAAGACCCGCAGGGCCCTCAAACTCGTGGGCCCGAGGGGAGCCGGGGACGGCGACCCGCCCCCACTGCGTGTGCCCAGGTGCCTGGCCCCGTGTCCTGGTCCCGTGTCCTGGTCTTGCCCTTCCTTCCTGTAGAGACTCCCCCGACCCAAAACTTCCGAGGGGCGGAGGGAAGCCCCCACTACTCGAGCGCAAAAACGCACTCGCATCGCGCCCAGCACAGCCCAGCGGTCAATCGGCTTCGGTTCCCGGGCCCGGGACTGACCGGGAAAGCGGGTTGGGGCTGTTGGGAAAAGCTGGAGCTGATGGCGAGATTGCCGCGGCTATAAATCCATCACTTCCCAGGTCAGCTCCGCGAGGTGCTGGGACTGGGGCTGGCGGAGTGAATTCCTGGGCCAGCGCGCATGCGTCGGCAGGTAGCAACCCAGCTCTTTATGACCAGGTGAGATGTGGGTGAGCAGGTAAAAAAGGATTCGCCTAAGCGATTCCAGGGAGCGGGCCCGGCCGAGCCCTCCAGCTCATGCCCGGCGGGGACCGGTCGCCAGGAGCGCCGAGCCGCAATGTCCATACTTGCCAAAATGGGGGACTGGCAGGTAAGGGGGTTTGCCTTGGCTGGGGCTGAGGTGGGCGGGGGTGGAGCGGGGGAGGGGGCCGGGA